TTAATAGTTTCTCTCCTATACATAGGATTTGATTTTTTACTGTGAAAGGAAAGTAGTTTGCTTTGGCATGATTTGTTCTTAAAAACTCCATGTAGAATATTACTTAGCCTATCTTCTAAGTATTTACAAGTGGTTTTATTTTGTGTTTTTTCCCCGAGAACTGAGGTTAAGCTGACTGGTCTGTAGTTGTTAGTTCCTTCTTACATTGTTTCTAGGTGTAAGCCTTATGGATAGCCTCTTCTAGCGTCTGGAGTGTCACCTTATAAAACTTAGTGCTTTCAGAGATGAACACAAAAGCTCTGAGATTGCCTTAGGTTTATTTAAGTACCAAGATCTAAGTACTCTGATGAATTTCCTCATGCCCCAGCTACTCGAAACATCTGTCTGTGTTGTCTTCAGTCTGTTTTCTCTTTTCTAATCTGAGTTTTTACCCCAAGGCTGTAAATTCCATGTCCTGGGCAGTTAATATTTTTTAATATTAGACCACCATTGAGGTTTTTTTTAATAAAACCTAACCCAGAGAGCATGAACCAGAATCCCAGGGCTGCCTCCTGACCACCACTGCATCTTGCAGTGCTGCCTGCGGCTGGGCTTTCGCAGGGAGGATGGAGCCTGCTGCCTCCCAGGATGCCTGTTTGTTGGGGAATGTGGCACAGGAGCTGTGTCTTATTATCCACTCAAGGTCAGATATATCTAGAACTGGTGTCAGATATTTTCTGGACAAGTGCAGTAGCAATTAGACACGTACCTCTGTTGTATTTTCAGCAGGCTCAACGCTGTCTCAGGCGACTCTTTGATACACTTTTGAATATGCAAAAGTTTAGACAACTCTCCTCCTGCGTCCACATTGTAGTATAGATTAGGTGAGAGATAAGTGCTATTTCTCAACAGCTGAGTGTACGATAGACACTTGGGCTTTGTATATAGCTGTCATTAAAAACTTTGGTGCCCACATCTATAATACTGAGCGCTCTCACCTTCCAGAACAGTGCAGCTGCGTACAAACCACCTGCTGCAGATAGCTCTTGGCTTAGGGTAAATCCCAAACCATGCTGAGTATTGCTTGAGAGAGCTAGTTAGTCTGGGCTAAAAATAAGGCAGGGGCCATACTAAATATCTAACAAAATAGGTGATCAAATTCCAGTGCCTCTGCCTGGTGCTTTTTATTTCACCAGCGTCGGCATCCCCTTTGCAAACTTTCAGGCTGAGCATCAGGTGCCTTTTAAGTTTAAGAACCTGGAAGGTTTAGATGTTGGTGGAGAATCACCAGCCTGAATTTTTTTTTCTGGGCTTGTTTAGCCTTGGGAAGACTTGTGGGGGTCTTTTTGTGTATTAATATATGATGATTGCAAGTAAGACAATAGAGCCAGACTCTCTTCAGTGGTGCTGTTACAGAACAAGAGGCCATGGGCACTAGCTCACTTCCATTTGAACAAAAGAAAAAACTCTATTATGGTGTAAGTGCTCAAACACTGGAACAAGTCACCGCAGCCGGTTGTGGAGTCTTCATCCTTGGAGGTATTCAGAACTCAGCTGGACAATGTCCTGAGCAACCCGCTGTAGTTGACATTGCTTTGAGCAATCCAAAACCCCTGTTTTGGATTAGACCATCTCAAAAGGTCCTTTCCAACCCCGACGACTCTGTGATTCTGAGTTACGATAAAAAATTAAATGGACTCTTGGAAGCAATAGAACAAATAAGAGGACATTGAATTGTCATACAAAATAGCCACTGTACAATTTCCAAAAGACCTCTTCACTAGTGATGTTTGAAAGTGAGCAGCATGAGGGATGTGTCTCCTCTAAGTTCTCTGCAGCGTTGTCTTTGCTCCTGAGGACTCGAGTACTTTAGGTCATGAGGGTGATTTCAGGCTTTGGACAGGATTTCTGAAGAACGGGATTAAGGACAAGATTGTGTTTTTATAGGCACAGTCCTACTTTGCAGCAGAACAAAAGTTCGTGTGCTTCGGATGGAGCCCCAAGAGCCCCAGAGCCTCAGGAAGGTCCTGAGGCTGCAGGTGAAACATGTCGCCTGCACTTGTCCTCGTAGCTGATTGTACCAGGATGCAGGGAGAGACCATGGGACCTCGGCTGCGTGATGCGCATGTGTGCTTGGGGAAAGAGAAAGGGCAAGGAAGGAAGTTTTAGATGGGAGCCAAAAGTTACATAAATCTGGAGGAAAGATGAGAAATAATGAAGCTATTCTGCCAAACAAAGTCAGGAACACTCATAGAAGGTGGAGATTAATTTGGAAGTGGTAATTATATCACTATATTGCTGAATGCAAATTCTTCCTTTTCAAATATACCGATATTAAATGTACAGGAAACAGGAAATGAAACAGGTTGCATATAGGAGTTGAAATGGATTTGTTAAGTTTCATTGTGAAAAAAAGTGAAATACAAAATAAGAAAAGGTAGGAACGAGGAGAGGAGAGGAGCGGAGAGGAGAGGAGCGGAGAGGAGAAGAGAGGAGAGGAGAGGAGAGGAGAGGAGAGGAGAAAGCTGGGATTTTGCCCCAGCTGTACCCGCAGGTCCGTCCCAGCTCCTCGCCCACACTAGCCCTGGTCCTTGGTGTGAGAGCAGAGCCCACCCTGTGCCGTCACCGCTGCCTGGGGGAAGAGGTGGGGTTTCTGACCCTGCTGCAACGAACTGTGTTTCTGCACTTCGGTTTCTGGGTTGATTTATTTTTATTTTTCACACTGTTCATTTTAACTCCCAAGATGTTTTGTTTCTTCTTGCCTGGGACCTGCCTTACCAAGCAGTTTTTATACAGGCAATTTCCACATCATTAGGAGACTCCTGATGAGTCTGTCAGATCACCCAGGAGGACACACAAGACCAGCTTGTAGGCATGTCTTTCAAGCAAGGCTCATTTACCACGTGCAAGCCCACCCACCATGTGGGTTTTGCCCGAAGAAGAGAAGTACTGTCTGCAATTCAAGCCTAAATCCAGTCAGGGTTGGCTCTAGATACCCACAACAAAACAAAACTGAAAGCCTAGCAGTGTCTGTCCCCTTCATCCTGCATCTGTCGCTCTCCACCCTGTCTCCAGGAGCACTGATGGATACCAAGCTCTTCTATCCAACTGCTCTTTTTCTACCCAAATAGTTTCCGAAAATGGTTGTGCAAGTGTCTTCTCAAACCAGGATCTCAATCTGAGGTCCTTCTGAAAATGTTGTGGTAAAAATCTGTGCAATCTTGAGATCAGATGAAAACAAAAAGGCAAAAGCAGAGCACAGAAGTGCTCTGCTGTGTCAGAAGACACCCCATTTCTCAAGTACATGGTGAGAGGCAGAGGCTCCATGGCCTTAATCATCTGCGCTACCAATATGAACACACCCTCTCTGCACGGGACCCAAAGACCACCAGAATAAGGAAATCTAATCTGAGGACTGGAGTATCTCTACTATGAGGAAATGCTGAGGGAGCTGGGACTGCTCAGCCTCGAGCAGAGAAGGCTCAGGGGGATTGAATCCATGTATACAAATACCTACAGGGAGGGTGCAAAGACAAGCCAGGCTCTTCCCGGTGGTGCCCTGTGCCAGGACCAGAGGCCACGGGCACAAACTGGACCACAGGAGGTTCCCTCTGAACATCAGGAAACACTTCTCAATGTGAGGGTGACCGAGCGCTGGCACATGTTGCCCAGGAAGGTTGTGGAGTGTCCCACCTTGGAGATACTCAGAAGCTGTCTGGACACGGTCCTGGGCAACCGGCTCTCGGTGGCCCTGCTTGAGCAGAATGCCTCCAGAGGTCCCTTCCAACCTCAACCATTCTGTGATTCTGTAATGACCTGGTGTTAGAAGCAGACCCTATATACCATCTTGTTCCTCAGGCATTTCTTAGCCACGGAGACCTGTCCGTGATAAAAGGTGTCTCCCCAGCTGCAAGTGGACAACTTCTTGTGTCTAATGGCCAGACGGGTAGTTCTGAGTTGTACTCGACCTCCTAAGCAGCATCTTAGGATTCCATGGGAAAAATGCACTGAACCAGTACAAGACCCTGTAATTTTTCTCTCTCTCTCTCCTTGGTCCATATAACTGGCTTCTTCACCATCCAGCCCAGCTGCCAACAGGTTCTCCCCGAAACTACAGACTCTTGTTTAATTGCTCAGTCATTTTCTCAGTAGTGGTGATGGCTGCTAGTGAAAAGTGCCAAACGCAAGGATCACAAAGGTCAGGACTCATTGGGAAAATGCATTTATTCAGCAATCTCCCTTCAGTTGATGCTTTTGAGGGGTTGAGAAGAATTAGATTTTCCAGAGGCAGTGACCACGCTTAAATTTAATGTCTGTGAATAATTCTGTTCATAAGCTATAAGTTATTCTAACTTTTCTTGGACACGAGGAAAAAATTCTTTACTGAAAGAGTGGTTAAACCTTGGACCAGGCTGCCCAGGGAAGTGGTTGAGTCACCATCCCTGGAGGTATTTAAAAGACGGGTAGATGAGGCGCTGAGGGACATGGTTTAGTGGGCATGGGGGTGTTGGGTCGACGGTTGGACTCGATGATCTTAGAGGTCTTTTTCAACCTTAATGATTCTATGATTCCATGATTCTATGATTCTATGATTCTTCACTAGCTGACATATGGGAAGGTCAGTGTTTCACTAGAAGACTTCATGATAAAAGGTGTAGCTGCATCTCTTCCCAGGGAAGCCTGTCGGTGCTTTAGGAACAGATAAGTATGGTGTATTTTTCTCTGAAGGTCTTTAAAAAAAAAAAGGCAAATAAAATTCTTCAGACGGATAGTGAGGACAATGAGCCAGGTCACCCTTTCAGCAGCCACCCACCCATGAGATCAGACCAAGCCAGCTGTAAAACCACATCTCGATGTGCCCCCGTAGTCCATCTCAGCACAGCTATTTTCAGTTTTGCAGCCTGGGCTGTAAGTATTGTACCACGGCATTCAGGAAATACGGGGCTGGATCCAAACTGTGTCATATGTGGTAACAGGTAATGAATATTTTGTCTAATTTTTCTCTGTTCCTCATCCACCAGCCTCGCCCACCAGCAGACCTGGGTTTCAGCTTTGATGCCAATAAACAACAGAGACAGCTGATAGCAGAGCTGGAAAACAAAAACAGGTAAAACGCAAGCTTTGATCAGTATTGTTTTAGGAACAACATTTGAGGAGAGAAGTGCCTTCAGTCCTTGTGCTTTGTTGTTTTTAACCTTTTGTATTATATTAACCAGATTGTTTTCCTAGATCTTTTGTTGAAAGGTGTAGCTGCCTCATTAACCAATTAGTTCAGTGCGGATGCAGCTGCGGTGCCGTTATTCCCCAGGCAGCAGGTTGATCTTCTTCACTGATCTTCTTAAAATCATCTTAACTGATGCTGGGCGTCAGGAGCTGCACTGCTATCTTGCATTGCTATCTGCAAACCCAGCAAACTTCTCGCAGCAGGGTAAGCCATTCAGGTGGCAGCAGGAAAATAAATCAGCTGCGATGTAGTGGAGCGAGCAGGTTGAAAAGCTGGGGTGGGTAAATTCAGCTTGAGAAGAATGAGTGGTTTTTTTCCTTTTGCTGGAAAACAAAAAAAGTCTGAAGAAACTGGGAGTCCTGGAAGAAACAGGAGATGGGCTGTAGGAGATGGTTTCCTTCTTCTGGACATGACCCAGCAACATGCGCTCGCAGCCCAGAAGGCCGATCGTACCCTGGGCTGCATCACCAGCAGCGTGGCCAGCAGGGCGAGGGAGGGGATTCTGCCCCTCTGCTCCGCTCTGGTGAGACCCCCCCTGCAGCACTGCCTCCAGCTCTGGGGTCCTCAGCACAGGATCCAGCTCTGGAGCCCTCAGCATAAGAAAGACACGGACCTGTTGGAGCGGGTCCAGAGGAGGGACACGAAAAGGGATCACAAGAGGGATCACAAGAGGGATCACGGGGCTGGAACCCCTCTGCTATGGAGAAAGGCTGAGAGAGTTGGGGTTGTTCAGCCTGGAGAAGAGAAGGCCCCGGGGAGACCTTATTGCAGCCTGTCAGTACTTAAAGGGGGCTTGTAAAAAAGATGGCGGCAGACTTTTTAGCAGGGCCTGTAGTGACAGGACAAGGGGGGATGGCTTTAAACTGAAGAGGGGTAGATTCAGACTAGATAGAAGGAAGACATTTTTTACGCTGAGGGTGGTAAAGCACTGGCCCAGGTTGCCCAGAGAGGTGGTGGATGCCCCATCCCTGGAAACATTCCAGGTCAGGTTGGACGGGGCTCTGAGCAACCTGCTCTAGTTGAAGATGTCCCTGCCCACGGCAGGGGGGTTGGACTAGAAGGCCTTTAGAGGTCCCTTCCAACCCAAACCGTTCTGATTCGATCATTCTTCTTGCTCCAGAGGGACTGTTAAGAAGAGATCACTCTGTTTTTATCATAATATTGTATTTGCAATTACCTGCTGCTTCAGCACCCACAGTTCGAGTTCATGTTTCTCCGGCTAAGAGAAACTAAGAGGGTGCAGCACTAAAAAGCAAGCCGTTGAACAGTTGCAAACCCCATGTGCCGTACGGCACCAGCAGCCTGTAGGTTGCCTACGGAGCCTCTCGGGATGTCTGATGATGTACTGGCCTCGTAGCCATGCTCGGGTCGCCCTTTGCTCCAGCTGCACCTCAGCTGGCGTGCGTGAGCTTGCTGCCTGCATGGCCCCTTGCCACGGCACCCTCGGGACACCAGGTAGAAATACTTCTTAAGGTTAGTTTGGAGGAGAACCAGTTCCTGGAGAGCACGGGAACAGCTCGATCCTTGCACCATGTGAGCATCATAGCTTCACTCATCGTACCAAGAGACCTTGCAGGTATTTGAAATTATTCGTCGAGATCACAGATAAGGGAGATCTCAATCAGTGCTGGTATGAAACCTCGCAAGGAGAGCAGCTCAGCAGTTTTAAAAAAGAGCAGGGGGGAGAATTAGAGATTATAATCATCACTATCAGAAGGATTTCATTTCCATTTCAATAAGTGAGTCCTTGGCCGTCAGTGCTACGTTCCCTCACCTCCGGCTACACAGAAGCTGGCTGATCGCCTTCCCTTTGTGAGACCTCGCGAGTTTGTCTCTGTTACT